CAGAGAGACCCATTTAGAGCAGTAATTATACCAAAATTGTAAAAAAAAAAATATATAAACACTTTGCATTTCAGATAAAAAGAATAAGAAAGAAAGTTTGAGTTTCAAAAGTATTTTTTTAAAAACCTTTGGCTATCAGTTAATTATCAATCGATAAATCGAAAAAAATAATGGACTGATTAATCATTTTGAAAAATAATCGTTAGTTGGAGCCCTTAACAGCAACCTTTAGTAGTAAAATAGAAAAAATAAATATATATCTAAAAAATTAGAACGTATAAAATAAAGGTTTACATTTTTCAATTTGCAGTAAAAGAATTTCAGCAACTTTCCCTCACGATGTTTTTTCTCTCAATGATTTAAAATATTTTTACTTTTTAAATCTGGATCTGAGGAACAACATTTCCAGGTAAAGAAACTTTGGCGCTCCTCTGTGCAGGAACAAAGTTTTGGTCCAGTTAATAATCCCTCTATTTCTGGTAAACCAGCTGTCGCATTGCTCAGCATTGCCATGGAGCTGTGAGGACAACGATGTACTGATCCCAACCTGCATTATTAGTGAATGAAGGGAGCAACAAAACTGAATAAAGCTTCAACAAAAAGCTAAAGCAGTGGGAGCAGCACTGCCTTGAGGTGCTCGCAGAGAGCAACTGGACATTTTCACTCCAGTAGCCGAGTGTTTGGGGTTAGTTTATCAGCAGATAACAGTAGGATGCAGCAAACACAACAGCAGGTCGAGCATATTTTCAAAGACAAACAGCACAAACACATTTCACCGCCGACTTGGCAGGATTGCAGATTAACTTTTAGTTAAGACCTGAGCAATTCCAGCGAAACTGCAGTTTTTGACTGAGATCTTATATTTTAAGGACTAGTAGAGTAAATATCAGGACCACTGTTTAATAAACTTAAACTTATTCATTTGAAAAACTCTTTCTATTCTGGTCTTTTTATTTTTGCCTGTTCAGTTCTTTAAGTCATTAACTTGCATACTCCTATCTTTCAGTCTCTTCCTAGTTTTCCTCCACTTACTCCCCCTGCGGTTTCTGTCACTTGTTCACAGACGACTGGCCATTACATCGCCATGACCTAAATGTGTCACTTCCCTCCCACTATGGTTCTTTTCCTTTCTTATTCAACCCCTCCCCCTCGCCGCTCTCTTCATATATCCTTTCCTGTCCATCTGGCGTCTCTCAGTTTTTCTTCAACTTTTCTGCCTTAATTATACACAGTTAAAAAGTGAAAAGTGCCCCTTGACCAGTTTTACCATTGCTGAGCTTATTATAATCTCCCGGCCTCTCTGCTGTATTTGCAGATCTTGTTCCTTTGATCCGTTAATACCACTCTGACCGTAAATTATCTGTATTTCTGGATGAAAAACCTCTGCTGATTACCGACCGTATGGATAGGATAGACTCTCCACATCTCATCCCACCTCAGCCTGCCTGCCCTCAATTCCCTCTGGTTTCCTCATCAATCACAGAAGTGTATCAGAGCGACAGCAGTATTGATCGAAAACTCCGCAGATCAGTTTAAAAACAGAGAAGAAAACTGACAGGTGGAAAAGATCGGTCTAAACAGCTGATTGACTACAAGCCCAGATCTTTGGACACCTGAATTCAAATGAGCTCACCTTTTACAGAGACTGTTAGACGGCAATGTCACAACACATCAAGGCTGGATTACCCGTAAGGAGGAGAAGTACCTTGTGGGAACAGGAGGTCTTTGTCACATGTCTGCTTTGACTCTAGGAAGCATTTATCACCACAAAAAGACTTTTAAGACCATTTATTTTATTAGGAAATCGTCTGTGAAAGAGCTGCATGGAAAAGCATCAAGCTCACGGCTGTAGAAGTGTCTTGCAGAAAAGTGCACCTTAATCTTCTTCAAGCAAAACGTCTTGCAACCAAAGATGTCAATATTTATTATTGAGATGTGATGTTTCGTTGCAGAGAAAAATCTTAATTTAAATGGTTTTGGGCATTTGTACTTATGAAAAATACTTTAAAAAGCAGATTAACTGCAATTGCAGCCTGGAGAATTTAAGCAAATTTCCTGACAAGCTTTGCACATCCAGAAACTGACGTTGCAAACTTTTCTTCGCAAAAAAAAATACTAAAATCTTTCAGATCGTATGGACGGCACATGTAAAAAATACTTCTGTTTGTATTTTTTATGATCAGTGTCCTGCTCTAAGGTGTGTTTTAGCTCCAGTCTAAAGTCTGTTAAAGCTACTAAAGGCTGCTACCTGTTTCTCGAGAACCAAGACGTTTGTCCTTGCTCCTTCAGCAAATTATGTCATTTTGGTCTCTTAACCCTGTCTCAGGGGATCTCACTGCTTGTTCTTGACATAATTTCTAGGTAGACTGTTTTCTCTAGGGGAGTCCGACTAGTGTACTGTAATTGGATATAGATAGGGGTGTTTTTTAAAAGGATTTAAAAATGGGAGCGGTCTCATGTATCTGTTGAGCTTAACATTGTAGTTGTGCAATTCAACTGTGGTGTCAAACATTTAATTCTTGCTCATTTGCAGCATTTCTATTAATTATCCAAGAGGGATGGTCTTACCCTCTGTAACAACACACAATCCTGGTGTTAACCTCTTTCTAAATAGCACAACAGCACACATTGAGCTACTATTTCTGTCTGCTTTACATTTTTTAAAATAAGCAACAGAAACCAAAAAGATTTTGGAAGCAGATCAAATAAATATGGTATCTTTTAGGATATTTTTATAAATATCCATGATTTCTTCTGGTTGCGAGGGAGCGAGAGAAAGCAAAATGTTCACCAAAAAAACTGAGCCTGATGTTAATAGGTAAAGCTACCCAGGTTAATCACCAGCAAAAGATGGTAAGTCAGAGTCTACCCTTGGATCATTTTGTCTTTTTTATATATCATTAAAATGGAGTTTACAGCAATAACCTTCACAGATATAGTTTGGCATTTCCTCTGCTATCTATGTAGAAAATAAACCTCTACACATAAAGGTTTATAAAAAACATGTTTTTTTTTCATACTTTTTTCTGTCCATTTGCATCAGCCAATGCTTGAATCTGAGTCAACGGTTGCACAAAGAAAGAGACAAAATAATCAGCCACAAAATTCAGGTTTAAGTCTAGTTCAACAATGTCCAAGGCAAGAAAATTAGATCAGTATGTGACGAAAAGGGAATGAGGTTCTGTTGGCTAAGGAATGTAGAGCTTTTATTTTTCCTCACTTTTATATGGTCCAGTATTTTATAACAGTAAAATGTCTGTGCTAATAAAAAGGCCTTGTGAGCAACTTATGCTGAAAAGAATGCAGCAGTCTAGTTAAACTATTAAAAGTTGTGAATATGCTGAGATCTGATCATTTATATGTGATATATTGATATAAAATATAAAGATAAGAGTATAAAAAAAGATTTAAAAGTCATAACTGTTAAGTTACAGAAGATAAAAATAATAATGAAAACAAAACCAAAAATCTATTAGAAAATGTAATAGTTCAAAGCTTAATAAAAAATATTTTATGCACAGTGTCTTCCAATTCTTGGCACCTCTGGCCTTCATTTCACTTATAAATCACTTTAATTATTTAAAAGATTAAAAAGTAATTTCAGACTAAATTATAGAAATGTTGGTTATTTGTGCCTCTTATTATCCTTATAATTGTTACTAAAATGTTTGTAATTCATTCATTATTAATCTTTTATTCAAAATTGATTGCAAAGTTTTATTGAGGAATATTTTTCTCTGGGGTGGCTTTCACACAACTAGTACACATATTAGGAGTTTTTGTACCCTTCGAAATAAGAAAGATAAGAATCACAACTCAAAGTTGATCAGGAAATAAAAAAAGACAATCCTTCTCATTTTTACCCAGGTATGATTTGTAAATATGAGAAAACTTAAACTGTGAAGACCAGCAATAGATGAGGTGGTTTGTCCTGTCATCATACACTCATTTCCCCCAAACAGATTCTATTTTTGTAATCAAAGAGGGCTGTAGTTAAAGGTGTTTTATGCATCTTTGCCAAAGGTGAGATAATTTGTGGATTTATATGCTAATTTTAAAACAGGACTGTATTTTTGCCAGGAGCACAGAGCATCTTCTACAAGAAGGACATTTTATTCAACCTATTTTACTCCGTAAACAAAGAATCTCCAGGATTTCCTAAGGTTCTTAGGAGAATCCCTTGTTTCAGATTCGTGAGCTTTCCCAATGGGGGCTTTTCACTGATGTCACTAAAGTCACAACTTGGGTGTCGTTGTATTGCACCGTGCTTTTCACAACATTGAATACTTTTCCCCCATAGATAAGTCTCTAGATTCATTAAAGGCAGAATATTGCGGTAATCAACAAGGTTGATCCACATGTACTGCCTGTTAGCCCAGGGCATGTCTGGCCTACATGTGCATTCCGTGGTGCAGAGTGTAGCAGAGCAGAACAGACTCACATCAGATGTGCGATCTGTCTCTGCTTCCACAGCTGCAGGATGGGCTCCATCCTGACTTTGAGTACATCCAAATCAAGTGTGATGTGGATGAGAGAAGCTGAGCGCTGAGTGGGGCCACATTAATTAGCAAACTGCATGCTTTGCTTGTGTCTAATTACCTGCTGCAGCCAACTTTCTTTTTACAAAAGTGTAAACAGTTATCTGTTTTTTAAGAAAACATGAGAAAGTAAGTTGCATGTATCAACAGCCTAATCTCTAGGATATGAATCAAACCACCTTACATAAAGTGACTAACTTTGAACTAACGTTTTTAGCTTCAAATGTCCCCTCTTCAAACCCTCAATAATTCCTCCTGCCTATCCTTTCATAGATGAGTAGCTACTCCGCTATCTTAGGTGCTAAAATCTTAATCCAGCAAAATTTTCAGTGCCACAAAAATGAAGCTATCAGCTGCATAAATAAAGACCAATAGAATTTTGTTACAAATGATAACTGACATAATTGTGATCATCACAACTGAGGCCGACTAATTAACCTCACCACTGGCCTCTGAACTCACCCAAGCAGGCGGATCCGTTGATGTTTGGCTCATATCCTTTGTCACAGACACATCCTCCAACGGGCACCATCCACTCGCCTTCAGCGTTGCAGTGCATGCGAGGGGGGGTGCCGCCCTGTGTTTTACTGTGGGGGACACACATCCCAGTCACAGGCACTAAAGCAGTCGGCTCTGCACCTGATGGAGTTGCCGGATAGGACGCCAAGTTGAGGCTGGTGGCTGGACAACGACGGTAGAAAATGGACACCCCCATGAGGGAAACACAAGCTCCACTGTCCACAATTGCTAAAACAAACCTGAAACAATGGTCACATGCAAGGATGGGGAATGTCAAGACCTTTTTAGATTCTATGTAGAGAGAAAACATTAGAAATAGAAACCAGGGCATGGATGATTACCCATTACGTGTCAGAGGAGCAAAGCTTCGTGTTTTAACATTGATGCGACTGTAGCGGTTGGGCTGATACTGGTGAGGTGAACTGGGCTCTACTTTGGAGAAACTCTTATCAGCTGCAATCGTGTCGATCTTCACCCAACCTTCCCTTGTCTCTCTCTCACCGCTAGATGGCTATGGAGAAAAAGAGCACAAAACACACAAAATCACTATTTAATAAAACAAACCTACAAATCTGACTTGGCCATAGTCTTGCCAAATGCAATCCTGACTTACTTAAAAAGTAAAAAAAAACAAGTTGTTTTTGAAAGAAAGCCATCAAAGATCCCAATTTCCACTAGCCCTGCTTGGAAATCTGAATCTGTGTGGTACAGTATAATAAAGCCTCATCAATCTGCATTAAAAAAAGCTGTTCGATGGCAGAATAACTTTGCATGGAGGTTTTCCTTCTGTCAGAGTTTGCTGGAAAACTGACCGGGACAGGATTTCACTTCGTGCAAGACAACAACAATAAAAAATATAACAGAAGCTCCAGATGGATGGTTTGTATCAAAGCATGCAAACTGGATAAAGAATCTTGGATAAGAGCTGGAAGAATATTTCCACACTCCTCTTCCAATCTGACTGAGCTTGATTTACTTTTTCTGAAGATGTGAAAAGCTGTCATGATTTGTGTTTTGCTTTTTTCTGTTTTTGGCCTGTTTCCCTGCTCTTCTCTGCACTGCACGTAAGTAAGCTAGCTGTTTCCACCCAAACCCCACCACATTGTTTCTGTATCCTAATCACCCCTCATTCATCACACCTGTTATCCTGCTTATAAGGATCTGCATATTGACTTCCATAGTCCAGTATGATAGGTGGCAGTAAATGCATGTTAGGTTGGTTTGCCAACAACCGGTTGAGCTGCCAGATTATCGAAAGCCAGCGTTGTTTCCCTGCCGGTCTTTTTTGCCTCCTGGATTTCCCTTTTCTTTCATTCCCTTGTCAAATATTCTTCTGACCTTGTGTCTGCCTGCTGATGAATCACTCTAAGGAACCAAAATTCAGTTCCCCTGCTCTACTTTGGATTCTGAGAAGATTAATGGCTCTACTATTGAACACATTACCATTGCTTAGTTCTTGCTCAACCACTAATCTACCTATCTTCCTCCAGAAGTTCCTGTTACACAAAGCTGGTTGAAATATACCCACCCATCACTTAAATCTTTTAAGTGATTACTAAAGAGAGCCGAATACCAATGCATGCCACACCTTTAGGGTATCTGTAGAAAAGTACCTTGAAGCTGTTTATTCATTATTCTCTACTTTGTAAATTCTGCCTTTTTTTGTAAAGATAAATCAGAGAACACAGAGTAGAGATCTTACTAACCATCAATTTAACAGGAAAACATTAAGGTTGTTTCTTGATAAGCAAGCAATGTTTTAAGCATAACTTAAATATTTTAGGAATTATGATTGCTGACATGAGTCTGTGCAGTTCTCCATGGGGGTTCCTGTTTTAATCTTTGCTGTGACTTTCAGCAACGTGCCATTTGCAGCTACTTTATGTCTCTCCACTTCTTCCTGATCAATTTGCATATTTAAAAAGCACCTCTTTTCCCAGAGGGGTAAAATGTTCATGTACACCAATCCTTCATAACTACCCATTTATCTCAGCTAGAGTTGCACCACACGATCAGACAGAAATATATAGTGTTTCTATGGTCGGACCCTATTCACGATAGTCTTCAAATACTAAATAATCAGAACTGCCACAATTTTTATTTTTTTTTTGCATCAAGTGCTTTCAAGTTTTTTTCTCTTTTATGCGAAAAAACTCACAATGCACAATTTGTACAAGTTGAAATCTGGTAACTTTAAAGGAAGTTAACAAAGCAGCCCATCTCTGACTCCAGTCATTTGGTTTCAACATCTATCTGTCATGCAAAAGTTTGATTGGAGGTCTTTATATCGTGTTGGAGGACTGATGATAAATTTATGATGAAAACAGAGATTTTTTATGTAAAATATTGTAGCCAGTGTTTCTGGTCTAAGGAAACTAATCTCAGAACCTTTTTAGTAATCAGAGTGATTATGCAATCAGTCATTGTTGGGCCATGATGAAAAGGCTGCTGCATTAATGTTAACTGCAATGAATCACTAATGATGGCTTTAATAATTCTGTCTGAAGGTACTTAGCCTCAAGCAGTGACTAAAATAATACCTGTTTAAATTTGCTGTGGCCAGACTCTATTTAATCAGGAAGTCACTGCCTTACAGTCGTCACCGGGGATTAAGAGCTTTGCATTCAATACATAACATGGACAGGAGCTTTGTAAATTTAATGTTAGATTTAATTTTGTTACACCGACTACAGGAAGTCACCACTCAGGCTTATTTAATAATTAACAACTCTAATCCAAAACTTAAACAGGCTTGTCAGTAATTAACTGTTTTAGATAACTATCTTTGGAAAATAAGAAAAAATGAGAGCTTTGGAATTTTGTGGTGGGAATGATTGTGGTGTTAGGTCATAGAGAATAAAAAATCTAATTTGGCAATTCTGGCACATTTACGGTCCCATGCCAGCCCCTCGGGCCTGGATACAAAGCGCCTTACTTCCATTTGCGTCCCACTGTAGACATGCCAGCTCCTTGCAAACTGAATCATTTACATGCCATTTGCTTGCAGGCATGTGTGCAAAATTAGGCCTAAATCAGGCCAATTCTTCTGGGTACTGAATTTAAGTCATTAGTGATTTTATTTGGTAAACAATAACATTTTTAGATCTAACATAAATTTAAGAGGTTTTCAAAATAACACATTTTGAGATATAGTCCTTTTTCACTGTCACTACCCTGCCACACTGCTTGACAATATCAGCCTGTATTTTAATGGAATTGGAAAACAGTGACAGCTACTGTATACACCAGCATGATGTTCTACTCTGAGATGCCTGCTAAAATAGCCATGGTTATTTTCCCTTAGGCTAAGATTCAAGAGGTTTATCTATGAGGACATCATCGCTGTGTGAGCACTGAGCAACGCATGCCCTTCTACACATGCGCCGCACAAAGGTCAAGTCAGTGTGTGGTGGTGGCAAGCTGATAAATGCATCGCCTGGTCATACCATCACAGCAGTGAGGCTGAAGGCGTAGACAGGGCCATAAAAAAAATCTTCTGCTTCATTTATTTTCTCCCTGCTTTTAGATCTTTTGTGGGAAACAACAAAAAAATCAATAGAACAATAACAAAAACATGTGACCATGAGAAAACAACAGAGTAATCATACTACTAAAGATCACTACATAAAACACTGCTACTGGGGATGGTAACCCTTGTCTTCACTTCAGGTTTGTGCTACATAGTTACATACAGGTGCTGGTCATAAAATTAGAATATCATGAAAAAGTAGATTGATTTCAGTAATTCCATTTAAAAAGTGAAACTTGTATATTATATTCATACATTACATACAAACTCATATATTTCAGATGTTTATTTTGTTTAATTTTGATGATTACAATTGACAACAAATGAAAATCTCAAATTCATCATATCAGAAAATTAGAATATTACTGAAGACCAATAAAAACAAAGGATTTATAGAAATGTTGGCCAACTGAAAAGTATGAACATGAAAAGTATGAGCATGTACAGCACTCAGTATTTAGTTGGGCCTCCTTTGGCCTGTATTACTGCAGCAATGCGGCGTGGCATGGAGTCGATCAGTCTGTGGCACTGCTCAGGTGTTATGATAGCCCAGGTTGCTCTAATAGTGGCTTTTAGCTCTTCTGAATTGTTGGGTCTGGTGTATTGCATCTTCTTCTTCACAATACCCCATAGATTTTCTATGGGGTTAAGGTCAGGAGAGTTTGCTGGCCAATTAAGAACAGGGATACCATGGTCCTTCAACCAGGTACTGGTAGCTTTGGCACTGTGTGCAGGTGCCAAGTCCTGTTGGAAAATGAAATCTGCATCTCCAAAAAGTTGGTCAGCTGCAGGAAGCATGAAGTGCTCTAAAACTTCCTGGTATGTGGCTGCGTTGACCCTGGACCTCAGAAAACACAATGGACCAACACCAGCAGATGACATGGCACCCCAAACCATCACTGACTGTGGAAACTTTACACTGGACTTCAAGCAACGTGGATGAAGTGCCTCTCTTCTTTTCCTCCAGACTCTGGGACCTTGATTTCCAAAGGAAATGCAAAATTTACTTTCATCAGAGAACATGACTTTGGACCACTCACCAGCAGTCCAGTCCTGTTTCTCTTTAGCCCAGGCAAGACGCTTCTGACGCTGTCTGTGGTTCAAGAGTGGCTTGACACAAGGAATGCGACAGCAGAAACCCATGTCTTTCATACGTCTGTGTGTGGTGGTTCTTGAAGCACTCACTCCAGCTGCAGTCCACTCTTTGTGAATCTCCCCCACATTTTTGAATGGGTTTTGTTTCACAATCCTCTCCAGGGTGCGGTTATCTCTCTTGCTTGTACACTTTTTTCGACCACATCTTTTCCTTCCCTTCGCCTCTCTATTAATGTGCTTGGACACTGAGCTCTGTGAACAGCCAGCCTCTTTAGCGATGACCTTTTGTGTCTTGCCCTCCTTGTGCAAGGTGTCGATGGTCGTCTTTTGGACAACTGTCAAGTCAGCAGTCTTCCCCATGATTGTGTAGCCTATAGAACTAGACTGAAAGACCATTTAAAGGCTTTTGCAGGTGGTTTGAGTTAATTAGCTGATTAGAGTGTGGCACCAGGGGCCATCAATTTTGAACCTTTTCACAATATTCTAATTTTCTGATATGATGAATTTGAGATTTTCATTTGTTGTCATTTGTAATCATCAAAATTAAACAAAATAAACATCTGAAATATATGAGTTTGTATGTAATGTATGAATATAATATACAAGTTTCACTTTTTAAATGGAATTACTGAAATCAATCTACTTTTTCATGATATTCTAATTTTATGACCAGCACCTGTAGTTACATACCAGTATTTCTGGCCGTCAGAACGGCTGGATTATTGTGTATTCGGGGGAAAATGGTGTGGAAAATTTATAAAGGGTAACTCATCCCAAAAACAATAATAAAAACCTTTTTTTTGCTAATAAATAGGTGTTTATTAGCTGAGCTGTCTCCTTCAATCAACTCACATTTTCAGAACAGTAGAGCTACATCCCACGTTAGACTCTATGGATGCAATAACGTTGTTAAAAAAAAAATAATCATGACGTACAGTACTGCAGCAGACAGCAAAACCTAGCTGAAATTATTTTATTGCAGCTCTTTAAAGTTACTAAACAGCACACAACCAGTTGCTTTTGCACGAGTTGAATGGTACAAGGCTGTTTAATGGTAATACAATAGAAGAGACTAGAAAAAATTGGGGCCGAAATAAAGCTAATAAATCCAAAATTTCCTAAAGGAAACTAAACTGTTCTAAAAAGCGCTATCTCTGTGGTAATTGCTTGTCTTTAAGTAACAGTAGTTTAGATGATCAGGTTAACTTTTAAAGTATTTCTCTAACTGACGGGATAGGCCAGATCCTGGGTTCCTTGAGAAATTTCCTCAAGGTTTTCTGTGGTACTTGTGGAACAAAGTGGACTTTATACTCTTACACCCCAAGTGCAGGACTTTCCAAATTAACTTCCATAGAAATAGGAAATGTCATTTTAGGCTTTGACCTTACCTCTGCGACCCAGGTTCTCATCAGCTCCCTCTGTGAGTCAGCCTGCTTGTAGTAGAGGGTGAGCGTTTCACGACAGGTGGGCGATGGTGTGCGCAGGCTGGTGCAGTCGCGCACAGAGAAGCGCAACGTTACAAACATCCGTGGAGCCGATTGACGGTAGAGGAAAGGTGTTGCCAACCAGTTATCCTGCTGACGGGGATTCTGGTTGACATTGCAGACCTCAAAGGTGCGAATGAGCTTCCCCCGGTCATCCAACACACTGACCTCATCCCACTGAAAGAGACAGAGACAACATGTGGTGGTGAAAGAGTTGTATTGGCTTGATATGATCTTGTATCATGAATATTGCTGTAAGATACAAGAAATAGATGTCAGTAGTCCCTTTAATGCCATACAAACATGCAACAGAGACATCAAAACATCTCATTAGACCAACTCTAAGAAACTTTTCAAACTTCAAAAAATATTTTCACAACTTTATTGATTACACGCCGAATTACAATTAGCTGAATGACATGGCCAGGGGCTCTGTATCTATTTCAATGGCATCAGGAGATCAGGATTTAACCATGTGCTGGTTCTCATGGGAAATCCGGTCTTCCTTCAGGTGAAACAATACAGCTTTTGTCGACTAGATGGAGCCAAAATTAGCCAAAACTAAAAGTTCTTTATAATCTGGGGTCCATTTCACGAAGCAAGTTTGACAAATTCAGGTTTAAATCCGCTATTCTAAATTGACCTAACCTAAAATCGGGAACTCTGAGTGTTCGATTTCATAACAGCTGCTATCAATTAGTTCAATTAATTTTAACTAGGTCCACTCAGAGTTAAGCGTGTGCGCAACAAGTATGAAACAAGTATGTAAAGCTTTTATCAGTGGCGCACTGATTCACCCTAAAACACTGAGTCACCATGAAAACAACCAATGGGAAGTGCCAATTTCACCTCACTGGAAGTAGAGATTTTAATGCAGAAATGCAAAAAAAATTAAAATAAATAAAGGAGAATGTCTTTATAAGACAGAGAAACAGCGCTACAGCTACAAAGGAAAGGAGGATGCCGAAGGAAAAGTATGTTGCTTGAGTTAATGCGTAAATTTTATATGAAGTTGGCTATGGCAGGCCATTTTTCATTTTATTAAAAGCATTTCTCTCTTTTGTTCCATTTGTAGATCACTAAAATTAGATTCTTCCGGATAAAAATCACACTCCTAGACTTAATTGTAATAATATATTTTCCAAATTATATTTTTATAGTAGAAACTGAATGTTAGAAAGCAAAAACAAAAACAAAATTATACTGGTAACAGTTAAGTTTTATATATCTAGAAATGTTTACATATTTTAATTGGCCGTTATGAAATTTATCAGCTTGACTGAAAATGTATTGATGATATCTGAAAAAAAAAATTTTCATTGTTAAAATAATACAAATGCTGGCCTGTAATATTAGGAATATGGAGATATAAAATTAATTTATAGACATCCAGAATGTTTATTATAGATGTGGACAATATCTTTTTTTTAAATGGTCATTTAGACAAAGATTTTATTTTTTTTTTTCAGATATCAGGAATACATATTCAGCAAAACTAGTAAATATTAAAACAGCTTCCCACAGAGTATTTACCATGAAGATATTACTGGATTATTTCTTGAATGGTAGTAGATCAATGTATCTATTTAGGTGAAATCTACTAGCAGTAGTTGAGGATGAAGTCTAAAAATGTTGTTCTAATATATTGAACAACATTTTTGTCTTCTTTTACACAGTAAAATGGCGGTTATAGAATGGCTTTAGATTGTGCCAGTACAGTAGACTCATTAGGCTGTTATTGACTGAATCCTAATCCTAACCTTAAAGTAATTCCTTTTCCCCCATGGAATTAATGAATCTATTTATGTGTAATTTGAAAATAATTTCAGTAGTTTTTCATGTACTGTAAATATGAATACAATAAAAATAAAATGATCGGCATCTCGCTCACATTAAACAAACCAAAACCAAGTAATCTCACATCCTGTTAACTGAGTTGTGGAATCTTCTCCCTATAAATATTTTATTCTCTGGGAAAAAGTGCTGATCTTTCTTTAATAAGATCCTTGTCAGGCGGACATCCAATGTTTGTTTTTAGAACTTAATTTGTGTAATAGATCTAGTGAATGATATATATTTATGTTAAAGGCACACTATGCAACATTTTTCAGTTAATTAATGTGTTCCATAACGTTATGGATGATTAAATGATTCATTTCAGGTTGAACAAAGGTATTCTCGGCCGCCCTGGTGGTCTGTGGGGGAAATACCGCACTTGCAATTGCAGGAGCACCGACCCGCACCTACAGGCTCAGAAGTCTCGTGAGAGTCAGTCTTGCTTTAAGGCGAGAACTGTTACACGCCCCCAGTTAAAAGCATTCTCGTTCCTAGCACAGTGGTGATCTTTGTGCAGTTATGCTACGTTCACATCGGACGCAGCAAAATCGCGTCTGCTGCTTCATTTTTGCTGCTTGTACCAGTTAGTTCTGACGCGCGGCTGAAGCAGCTTTGCTGCTCTGGCTGCACGATGCAAAAGTGTGTCTGACGCACTTTGGGCGGAGATTCACTATCCTTTCTCTGCCTTGCAGCTATATTTGCTGTGATCAGTGGGAATAAAGTAGTTTTAATATGTGTTTAAGTGAGAAAATACACCTGAAAACGTAATCAGTGCCGTCAGTTCATTCAGATTATTATCCTGCCTTCAATATTTTTTCTGTCGGAGCCGCTCAGACCCCCACATACCAGCGGTGCGCCGACAGTAGGGATCCCTTCATCAGCAGCCTCTGGCCTGGTCGCCTCCTCGCGGTTCACTGCAGCAGCTGGTAGGTGTTTTTCATCTAAATAATCCAAACTGCATATTCTGCCGGCAGATTTCTGCATTTTAAGTTAATTTAGGCGTCAATAAACTGTTTAAGAGGAGTGATCATCAGCGCTGTGTCTCTCTCCCTGCGTCAGATGCTTAAACGCGCCCGATGCGCTGCTTCAGCTGCTCAGACGTGCTGCGCCTGCTGCTCAAAACGCGCCGCGGGACCTTTTGCTGCGCCTTGACGTTACGTTGCATGTAAACTCGCTGCTTCTGTCGCGCCAGCTGCGGTGTGAACGCAGCATTAGTCATTTGTTGCGTTCGCCTGTCTGCTAAGCTCAAAACAACCGCGCCTGGCTTGACGGAGAAACCAGGAGAACAGCTGTGCATATTTACGACAGTGCACTTTTACTTTCGCCCTCTGGGGGGAGCCTCGCTGGAAAATCAACACCGGTTGCATAGTGTACCTTTAATGCACAAAAATCGGACTAAATCAGGGAATAAAACAACATGATCGGCGGTATGGAAAGCAGCGACAGAGGACACTCTGAGTTTACTGAAGAAAACCTGCTACCAACCAAGTTAGCTCTCAAGAAAATGTTACTACGATGACTGAAACAGAGGTTAAATGAACTCTCTTTGTGAACCGAAAAAGTCAGTTTCCCTGATTTTTAGATTTAGACAACTTACAGTTTTCAGTAAACCTGCTTTGTGAAACGGACCACTGCTTTTCAATGAACAAGAAATCAAAGCCAGTTTTAGTGTCACAGAGACTGTTCAAGCATCATGGTATTAAAATGAAAATATTTCATAAAAAATAAAGATATGGCCTAAAATAAAATATCTTTTTGAATAAATAAATTACAACTAAGTCTTAAGAGTGCCTGTATTTTTTTCATTATTAAACCTGGCTTAAACAATCCAATGCCATTTTAGCAGTGCTTTACCAACAAGGGCCCCCTAGCAACAGCAGGAGGCATCAGAAAAGAGGAAGATAAATCAGATCTATGAAAGCAATGCTGAACAGTGGAGAAACTCTGATAAAAAAGAAAAACAACGTATATATTCGATAGTGAAATTAGCTGCAACATTATATGTTTTCTTATTAGCTCCATCTTACCAAAGACTCTTTAAAAGACATTTAAAAGGATGCATTAAGTCCCAAAATAACATTAGATTTAATCATTTTTATTTAAAACCAATTAAATAATTTTATTCAAAATAATAAAAGGTTTTAATCCAACGTGACAATAAAAGAAAACAGAAAATGAGTATTTATGCACATGCTGCACTGTGACTGCACAGCTAGTGAGTTGGAGCCTGGTGCATCTTTACTCACTGGAACAGGTAGAGATGGATTAACCCAGGCTGCATTTACTGATCAAACCAAAATATCTGAGTGGGTTAAATTTCAGTTACAACAAATGATCAATGATCAATCATAGAGGATTTTAGGCTAATTTGGGGGGTTGCTAAAGCACCTTTATATTGAGTGAAAGCACCCCAAACATTTGAGGGTTTCTTTAATACTGTATGCTATTTTTTAAATAAAAACTAAACAAACATAAACAAAAACTATATAAAAGTGTAAAAAATGTTGGGTTTAATACACAATAATTTAAAGCCAAGTGATTATTACTGATACAAAATTTAGATCCATAAATATTTTCCTCTAATGAAATTTTACAGGTTTCGGCTGTATTTTTATCTTCAAAGAAGGGAGACAGAGAAATTGCCTTCTTTATTCCCTCGTTAAAGCAGCTCCTCCTATCCAATGCAGCAGAGTTTCTCATTCAGATACATTGTCCATCTAGTACTAAGCACGCTGGGGAACATGCCTATTGATTGACAGCCCCCTGCAGAGCAATAGGCATAAGTTGTTGATCGCTGTAGGATCAGCCTCTGATTTTTAGTTGACTACTGGGACATTAACCAAACTTGAGGGATGGTTCACTTACAAAAGTTTCCTTCTGGCCCTAAAATGGCTACCCTCTGCCATAATATTTTACAGTGAACAGGTGTCAGGCACTAGTATGGAAGCCCGTTTCCGCCACTCTGTAAAAAAAAAAAAAAAAAAACTATCTCAATATAATGAGATAGTAACTCAATATAATGAGATAGTATCTCATTATAATGAGATAGTAACTCAATATAATGAGATAGTATCTCATTATATTGAGTTACTATCTCATTATATTGAGTTACTATCTCATTATAATGAGATACTATCTCATTATATTGAGTTACTATCTCATTTTAATGAGATAGTATCTCATTATATTGAGATAGTTTTTTTTTTTTTTTTTTTTACAGAGTGGCGGAAACGGGCTTCCATACACTAGGACACAGAGTACAGAGGGGGAACCAAAAGAAATGGGTTTGTGAGAAATCAGATATAGTAGCTAATCCTACTAAATAACGACATATCTAAAAT